GTTAAAGAGGAAGTGCGGGTTGACCTGGCTTTTCAGGTATTCATACTCAAAAGCCATCCGTTCTTCTTTCAGCAAGGCCACCCTTTTCAGCGACAGCAGCCTGCGTTGCACGAGCCAGTATAAGAATAAACCACCGGCGCAAATGACAGACAATAGAAACCACCATTGTTTCCAGAACGGCCTGGCTATCTCAAACGAGTAACCAGCAGCTACCGGGTTATCGAACGACCGGCTTAAGGACGCCTGCACGGTAAACCGGTAATGGCCGGGCTGCAACCGGGGAAAAGAGATCATATCATCCGTGGTCAGGGTCCATTCGCGGCTCAGGCCTTCGAGGCGATACCGGTAGTAAAGCGGATCTGCATGGGTAAAATTGACTCCCTGAAAACGGAATCCCAGGTAGTTTTCATCATGGCTGAAATGTTGCGGCCGGGGATGTAGCTCTTTAAGGAATAAGGAAACACCGGTGATGTTGACGGCAGGTCTTATATCTGCTGCAGTACCCTTAAATACCAGCAAGCCCTGTGGCGCGGGCAGGTAGATATCCTGGCTGGGGCTGATAGCTGCCAGGTTTAAAACATCAGACAGGTTACTGTCGAGGCCAAAGCCGCTACGCTTGTTTAAATGCCGGAAAGCCAGGCTGCCGGGATACCAGATATCAATCCCCTTAGCGGTAACCAACAGCACATGACCGGAACCATCGGCTGCGAGCGAAGTAATCGTAGGGTCCTGCAAACCATGGATGCGGGTGTATTGCTGCCAGCGGTGCTCATCATATACATATACCCCCTGCTCCAGGGTACCCGCCCAGATACGGCCCGCATTATCTTCTGTAATGGCATAAACGACCTTACTGCCAAATCCTTCCTGCTCGCCCCAGTGATAATACTTATGTCCATCAGTCATGGAGATCCCCGCCCCGTCTGTCGCAAACCAAGTCCTCTTTTTTGAATCGATAAAGATCCGGTACACATAATCACTGCCGATCCCTTCCCGCTTCTGGTGTTGCTTTACCGCGGTAATATTCCCATCCCCGCTAACGGTTAACGCCGCTATACCATTCAGCCCGGACAACCATACCTCGGCCCCATTCCCGGCCAGCGACAGTATATGGCTGCCTGCTATAGCGGGTACATCCTTATAAGATTTAACGGTACCTCCGGCATGCCTGCTCAACAGCCCATGGCCTGACGTCCCTATCCATAAACGGTTGGATGCATCATTGTAAAGACAGGTGATAATGGACGGAGCACGTAATACCAGCCTGGCAGTGCGGTCAGTCTGATGATAAACATAAAGCTCCTGGTCCTGGGTGTACCATATATGCCCGCCCGTATCCACCGTAAGTGCCGTTACCTTGTTCAGGGAGTAATGATCGGGCAGTTTGATGATACCGAGATATGCAGCAGTGGCCTGTACCAGGCAGTCATGCGTACCCAGCCATAAAT